CCCACGCAATGACGATTTTGCAAAGTGTTTTATTCATTATTTAATACAAAAATAACACAGAAACGATAGAAATTAAAATCATAAAAAGTCAGCTCTTGTTAGCTTTATAAATAGTTTCTTCACGGGGTCAGTAATGATAATATTGTTCGCTAAAAACTAGGACCGTAATTTACAAACTTTTATCGAACCAGATGATGAGATCAAAATAAAATTAAAAGGTTTATGAATTCACTACCTAATAGAGTCTTTAACATTTTCGCCTATGTGAACTCATAGTTCGGCTTGAAATATAAAAATAAGTTTATTGTCCGCCGCTGCGTGAGAATTATTACTTGTGAAAAAGGTGCTTTAAAAAATAGTGCAACAATAATTAGGATGTCCGCCGCTGAAACGGTCGCGGTGACAAAAAATAATCCATGATTGTGACAAAATTTGGAAGTAAAAACTCCGCCTTGTTACCGAGTTTTCGGTCTTTAGTGAGTTTCTATTAAATAAAACTAAATATAAAAAATTATTCTATTCAAAAATCCGATTTTGCCCATCTCTAATCACGTGTAGGTAAATACTCGAATTACAATAAAAAGATTAACATTGATTACCACGAGTAATAGTTTCACACATTTCATGCACATTCAATCGATGTTTTTGTGCATATAAACGATTATAACACCATTGATACTCGCGAGTTTTCCTTTTCTCTCGAAATTAATTTTCACTATTTTTATCGTTTTATTTCTAACATTTCTCACATTTGTTTCTCTCCGGAAATACCTCATTTATGAGAAAAATTCGCTACGTGGTTACAACTGATTGCGAATTAAATAATGGTCGAAGATTAGTAAGTATATCCTTGAAATAGGAATACCAAATCTTCACCAAACGATTACAGAGGGAGGCGAGCTACACGAAACTCTGGAATGTAACAGACCTCTTACGGAGTTGTAAATTGTACGATTAAAGCATTTACCGGTATTTAATTTTACCGTAAGACCCACGCTGGAAAACCCGTGGCTGACCGCCTCAAGCTCCTTAGACTTTCTTTTTGGTAAGTTGGTTACTGATTACACTATAATATTATTATAATACACTTATATGGGCATCCCGAACAATTTCTAATTTTAAATAAATGAAAATCCAACAAGGACATATCATAATTAATACACAGATGTTATTTAAGGAAGACAACATGATCGTACAATTCCGCCCGATGTTGGCCAGTGAGATGATAAATAAATACTTCCCGTGTATTCGATCAATCAACTTTAGCGTATCGTTGTTCTGCAAATAGCAGGGGTGCAAAATATTTCCGTCCAGTGATATGCTCACAAATATTGCTTTTGACATTCGTGGTTACAATAAAATGACTGTTAATACGACCATGTATTTGGTGATTTCGCAAATCTGTGAGATGCTGCTGGACGTTTCTTCTAATTCAAAAAATAATGGCCTAGGTTTACACTCGTTACAAAAATCGTATCGGGTATCAGAACTTTCTGAATGGCTTCAATAAATTTGCTGAGGAAGGAACAAATCCCGTCAAACTTGCACTAGAAAATCGTGTACTTTGATCACAATTCATTGGTGTCATTGACAGTCACATGACCACTCTCGTTTGAAGAAACGCACTGCGTTGTATCTGGTTTCAATAACGCCGCCAACTGTTTTTGCGGGAGAAGCGGAATCGGCGTGCTTGTATAATAATCACATTATAAACAAGAATTTTGCCGTTAATGCAAAAGCTTTGTCTCATATGTATGCACCACATGGGTTAGAATTCCAGCAAATATCATTATGTAATGCAAAATTGGGTTACAAAAGTCCTAGTAGGCAACTTATTTGTCAACTTAATACTCGCACGAAAATAATTGTCAACTTTGAATTTTTGCCTTTCAAAATCGGAAAAAAGTGCTAAAGTCCCTAAAAAAAGTTGCGAAAGTGCTTCTCAACAATACATTTCCAACAATACATTGTTTTCATTTACTTATTATCAATGTGAAAGATGATGTTTTTATGGCAACTTGTCGTCCATAGGATGATCTGACAAGCGAGTACGAAATTTAGTCTTAGTGTAATGCATTTTAGATGAAGGTGCTCAACGCCATATGTTCTTCCGAACGTGCACATTACACGTTTTGCAATGTCGCACAGATGAGCTGTGGTGCAGTGCCGGGTCTCGGGTCGAATTTTCGACGACTCGTTTCGTAACGAGTTTAACATTGAAACCCTTAACAACTGCGATGCTGACTGGGCATATCGAGCAAACTGGTTTTGGAATGCGCAAGAAAGAAAAATATTTTTCCGTTCAAGCACTTTGGAAAGCTCGACCCTCGTCGCTCCCGATTCCCAGACATTTTTAAAATCAAAATTACCTCGAACGACATACAACTGACGCTACTTGTTACATAACAAGCGCCGTGCAGCAGCACTTGTCACCACATAAATCCGTGTAGAGACAATAATAAATTTGGGATTAATTTTTGTTTTATTTATTGAATGTCGGGTCGTTCAAGGGACGCAACAAACTAGTTCGCGGGCCGCCTTTGGTTCCGCAGTTTGCATACCCCTGGTTTTGGTTTTGTTTGGTTTACTGTTGGGTACTGTTTTTTAGTCGTAGGGTTTGTGGTTAGATTCTAGAGGTTTTATTACAGCCTTGTCTGTTTTTGTATCACCCCTCTGCGGAACGGCAGTAACCTTTCCGCGGACCGGCGATGGGCCGCGGCCCGGTGGTTTCCGACCACTGCTTTAAAAGAAGTTGAAATATTATTGAATCTTAGTCAGTGCTGGGTTCGAAAATTTAAAAATGAGTTTTCTCTTGTATCGACTCACCAACAACAGGTTCTACGGTACGCCAAATATAATCGGTGATGCATTTGTTTAACGTCTAAAACAAGAACGCGTTCATTCCAATAACGTGTTCGCACGAACCCGCTGAATCGTACCACGAATATTAATTGCAATTATATTTTCGGGTTTTCCCAAGATATATTGCTTCGAGGTCCCACTTTACAAAACTAGGTTCCAAAATCACAACTGAAAGAATATTATTTTAGATATTTCAATATGCTTTGTATGAATAAAAAAAAGCGTAATGCTCATAAAATCAAACAAAAACAACGATAACATGCGCAGCAAGTTTTTGATATTATGACGGTATACAATTGGCACGGATATAATTTAATAAAGGAAAACTCGATCACGCCGTGAAAAAGTTTGTTTTTCATTTCCGAAGCTAATTTTATTTTAACCATAATATATGAATTTACTCATTTCTTCGGACTAAATTAATTCATAACGATGTCAATAACGTTCGGGATAAAAGCTGTCAATGTTCATATATCTCAAGTTTAGTAACGTTTCATGTCAGACATCTTTTTATATAAAATATATTGTTGACATATCATTAAAAGTTGTATGTTTATATATGGGTCGTAAAAACAATTCCTCGCATAATTTGATGAAAGATATTACAAGGTCTGGTTCAGATTTTAATCAAAAGGGTGAAGAGCCTTTTTTGAGCCAAATAAAACAATGATTGGAAATTAGAGCTTAACTTGAACTATTCACCTAATTGCCGCTGTATGGAGTATCGTTACAACATTTGCGCTGGCGCTCCCAGTACTGTTATTCAGCTTCATGACCAATATCAAGAGTTGTAAATATGACTGGTCTCAAACTTGTTTCGGGTTGCGTCATTTTTCTCACCAATGAAGTGTTGAGTCACATTGGCTTAAAACTACGATGGTTAACAACAGCAGCGGCTAAGGCAACGTTTTTTAAATAAATCTATTTCTTCAATTTGTTTCTGATTCTTACAGGACTCATTATTTAACCTAGAACTTTGACCAATATCAAGAGTTGTAAATATGACTGGTCTCAAACTTGTTTCGGGATGCGTCATTTTCCTCACCAATGAAGTGTTGAGTCACATTGGCTTAAAACTTCGATGGTTAACAGCAGCAGCAGGGGAACGTTTTTTAAATAAATCCATTTCTTCAATTTGTTTCTGATTCTTACAGGATTCGATATTTAACCTAGAACTTTGCTGTTTACTTATAGTAAGACACTTTCTAGTTCATTTCGCACACTTTTCCTCAGTGTTCCTCAAAAATCCCTCATTTCTTGAAAACTTAGCCGACCTTTCGTAAACCAAAAGTCCTGGATAATTAAATAGAGTCAAATTCTCCAAAATAAATTTTCCGTGGTAACCTACCTTCAAAATAGATAGTAAATATGGAAAGTATTCTAAACAAAGTATATCAAACGAACAATAAAATCGGTGACCCAAAAGTATTTATGGTAGATATGTTTCGGATTGTGACATAACGAATCACTGATAATATGTAAAGCATTAATAAGCGTTCTTGCGACAAATTTTGTTACTTCGTCCGAGTGCTCGACTTTCATTTGATGGCTTTCAACTTATTCCCACTTCCACAATAAAGCGATCGCATAAGACCATACAAAAGTTAAAAACAATGCGTTCCAGGCCTGCCGAAACCTACGTTACTATTCTAAAAGAAACATTCTATTATAGCCTATGTCTGAATATTTATTTGCTTCATTGTTCTATAATAAAATGAGTAGATAATTATAAGTCCTAAGAACCGTCAAACAATGTAATATTTGCGTCGTTGCATTATTTCGTTGAGAAGTCGGAAGCACTCATAACATTTGAGCATTGAGAATTATTTAGAGTCGATGTCACGTCCAAATCAATTAAAGTATTCCTAATATCATAAAGGAATTTTGCTGATGGATATGGTTTTGGTGTGTACACTTCGATCCACTTCGCGTATTCCTAACGCTTAGGAAGATTAGTAACTCACCCATAATAATAATAATTCTTAAAATTTTGCACTGCCTTCGAGGTCATTTTGTGATAATTTTTATCACCTGATAACTTTCGAAAATACCTTATTTGATGATTTGAACGAAAGATACCAATCTGAAGATGGAATCTATTATGAAGTATTGTTGCCACATTTGTGCTCGTACTCCCAGTACCGTTATTAACCTTCATGGCCAATATCAAATGAGTTATGAATATGATTGGTCTCAAACTTGTTTCGGGGTGCATCATCTTTTTCACCATTGAAGTGTGGCCTCACTCAGCTTATGTAACATAAATCATTGAGGCACATAAGCTCATAACATAGATCAGGGTTGTCCAACCTTTTTGGACGAAGGACCACATTTAGTTTACGAATGATTGCGCGGTCCACTTGACATGGTAGTTATATTCTAGTTTCACCGACTACAGATCAAAGAAAAAACAAACAAAGCACCTAAATTATAAGAACAACGAAAATACGAAGATACAGTAAAGTCAAAAGTTTTAACCACACATAAATATTTATGGGAAGTATGGCACTGCGTTTATCCGACAAGTCTGTCAATCATAGGTGCAATGGACGATGTAGAAATGCGGAGCAAATTTTTCACGTGGCTGTCAGAAATTAGTGTTTCACGGGGGATTTTCCTTGTTCATTCCATGAAAAAAATTGCTCGTAGAAGTGAATGCTGTCAAATATTGAGGTCATAAAACTGCCTCTTCTAGCTTCACAGAAAAAATACAGGAAAACAGATTGAAATACATGGCAGACGATAAAAATAAATTCAAACATGTCTCACTAGCAATAACGACCATAAATGGACATAAAAGAAGCTTTCGATAGCTAGGTGGTGCTTCTCGTGCGTTTGAACGACATTTTTTATTAGAGGTTTCAATAAAGGCTCAGATTTGTGAAAGACATTGGGATTCGAATAATACCACGCGGGCCACTCGGAAACCTTCGTCGGGCCACATGTGGCCCGCGGCCACGGGTTTGACGACCCTAACATAGATGGTCAACAGCAGCAGCCAGAGCAGCTTTATCAAATTTATTCATTTTTTCACATTTTTCCCCGATTACTATGATACCCTATACTTCATCTAGACATTGACCATTGCTGTTTAAATATAGCAAAGCACTTTCTAGTTCATTTCGCACACTTTTCCCTCAGTGTTCCTTAAAAATTCATTACTTGGAAACTTGATCGACTTTATGTAAACATAAATTGAATAGAATCAAATTCTTTGAAATATGGAAAGTAGACTATTCTAAACATATCGAACGAGCATTAAAATCGGTGACCCAAAAGCGATTATGTTCAATATGTTTCGCATTGTGATATAGCGAATTACTGATAATATGTAAAGCATTAATTAGCGTTCCTGTGGTATTGCGACAAATTTTTTTACCTCTCCCGAGTTATCGACTTTCGTTTGTTGGCTCTCAACTTATTTCCACTTCCACAATTAAGCGATCGCATCAGATTATACAAAAGGTAAAAATAACGCTTCCCAGGCCTGTCGAAAGCAAAGTTACTATTCTAAAAGAAAGATTCTACTATATCCTACGTCTAAATATTTATTTGCTACATTGTTTTATAATAATAAAATAAGTTGATATTTATAAGTCAGACAATGTAATATTTGTGTCGTTGCATTATTTTGTTGAGATGTCGGAAGCAACAATAACATCTGAGCATTGAGAATTATTTAGACGTGATGTCACGTTCAAATCAATCAAAGCATTCCTAATGTCAAGAAGGTCTTTTGCTGATGAATATGGTGTTGACGTATACACTCCGATCAACCGAATCCCTGCAAGATATTAACTATGTTTTTATTGACATTGTTTTTTAAAATATCACATATTTTATATTGGTATGAATTGATCAACAATAAGTGGCATACCATTTCAGATATTATGTAGCAGTAGATGATAATGGCAGCTGTTATCTTGTGCATGACTGATTGCCCTGGCAGCACAATACTCAAAACCACATTTCAAAGTTTTACTTCGATTTCAGTTAACGCATTTGCTGTAATTTGAAACAGTTAATTTACAAATAAGATGCTTTACTCGTTTTCATAAACTTACGGTTGTGTATGAATAAAAAAACTAATTCGTTTCTTGCCACTTCCAAATCATAAACAAATTACCTCCAAATATATTACAATCTGTACAAACGATGTATGTTGAATAGTCGGTTGCAACCATGATCTCCGTGTTGCCATTTTCAATAGATTCAACTGTAACCATACGTACACACATGGATTATACAAACGGCTTGTGTTTACCATAGTGGATCACAATCGAAGTAATTTGTTCACACTATATATAGGAAATATTGAATCAATCAGATTAAAAAATGTTATTTCCTAAAACTGCTTGCTTGGTTTATTAGATATCATATATTGCTTTTTTGCTAAAAATGGATTCCAGTGCATAGTTACTTTCAAATAAGTCGAATATTTTAGTATCTCGTCCATTGTCCCAATACCACATTTTCCCATATTCATTTCCACGCAAGGCTGTATTCGCGAATAAGTTCATTCTTCAGCTACCTCTGTCTGCTGCTTTCGAACATGTATATACTTTGTGTACTAATCTAAAATGCCTCATGATAACTATAAGTTTGTGAAACATAATCGCCGTTAAATCCTGATGAATTCCTTTTGAAAATAACATAATACCTTCCTGCGCAGCTGCTGTGTCATGGACGGGCGAAGAAACTCGAGAGCCGACTTCTCTATGATCTGCGTCTTCTGTATTTAAAGGAATAGTTACAATTTACAACTAATAAATCAGGTAGTGTTTAACGACTGAGAACTCACGAATTCCTCGATATGTTGCTGTTTCCTTGGTTTTGAAAAGTGCGACCACAAATTCTTTAGGCTCATATCTATTTTAAAAATATAAATAACGTGTAATAGACTGCCTGTCAAAATACAATTATAAAGCTGCTTCAGATTCATTTTATATTAAGCTTTCTAAAACAATGTTTCTCATTATCTACTCAAAAAGAAATAGCAGGTGAACATCCAATTTTGTTAATGTGCTTCGCACAATCCTTCACAGGATACACTCAAAATTTATTTATCTGCACAATCGATATGCTTTGGCGCCCTAATAACAGAATGTTGCTGCCGCGGAAATGCGATGTCAAAAAATTAAATTTAAAATGAAATTTTACATGCCTTCGAGGTCATTTGTGATATTTTTTACCACTTGACAATTGACAACTTTCGAAAATATTTCATCTGATGATTTGAACGAAAGATACCAATGTGACGATGAAATCTATTAAAACAAAGTTAAATATTATCGAATATCAATTAAAATATATTTTAGTTATCTCCCAGAATCACCATATTTTCATAGTTTCAATGATTGTGAGACTGAGCACGCATTGCAGCGAGAACACATACTTGTACAAAAATGAAGTAAATTTATTAAACATTGTTTACTCATGAACTTCTGTTTGTGTATTATTATACCAGAAAGTTACAGTAGTCTAGGACGCTTTGCACAAAAGTCATGTTCTCTCTAGAACAGGGGTCCGCAACTACTTTTTAGCGCGACCCCAAAAAAAATTTTAACTTCTCGCGACCCAAGTATTTGGTAAACATGTAATTACTTATCGATTTTAGGACTATTGTCGACACTAGCATTTTTCTTGCACAAAATTATATGAAACTTATCACATGAAATTGTGAATAATAGCGTTTATTATGACTAATGCAAATTATAAGCTTTGTGTATAATACACAACATATCAAATCGAGGTTTAATTTGGGATACGGCAACTTTGAAGATATTTTTCTACCTCTAGCCTTGATCTGTAATTGTATTTTATGTATGAAAACGCTGATATGCGGGAAAAAATGTATTGGTTTTTTATTGGATTTTGGATGCTTTGCTGTAAGCTGCACGTGAAACCAATCTTTATGCATTATTCGCTGTTATTCCGCTTATATGTATGGTTTGAGTGATGTATTTCTATCTGATGAGGGTGAGAAGAGGAGTCTTTTGTCGGGCGTTGATCCCCACTGCTATAAGTGCTCCGTACGGAGCCTCAGGGCACCGCGAGCTATTCGTTCACTTAAAAAACTGACTTGGTTAATTTCGTATCTGTGGAGAAGCATTAACGTCACTATCACTAATAAAATTTGACGATGGTGGTGTCGAAATGTGGTGGTGATTCAAATATAACATTATTTATCACTAAGGGCGCAGCAGCCATGCTTTTCTAAAATGATGGGGGGGGGGGGGGGGGGGTAGAATAGAAAGTTTCCGAGCAACACTCATCGCTCAATCCATGGCCGACCCGAGAATTTAAAATGTCATGTCATATCAATTCAATTGTGTTCATCGTTGCTCGCCTTTGAGTTACGGCAACCATGAAATACTTGTTAAACCGTCTACTACCAATGAATGGATTGAAATCGTATTTTTGAGTTTCTCTTTCAGCGTTTAGGATTATCGCAATGTTTCGTTGTTAAGGGAGAGTTTGCAGTTATGAAGCCAATTATATTTGATACCTTCATATCTAATTCGGTCTATTTATAAATGTATCAGTGACTTCTAGATGCAGTGATGGGACAAATATCGGCCGACTCAGTAAATGATCAAAGTTTCATTGAAGGGTTTAGATCAGTGGTCGGCAAACTACGGCCCACGGGCCTGATTCGGCCCGCGACGCTTCACTGAATTATATTAACAAAACAGCTTTATTGACGAATATATTCTTAACGTGACAAAATTTGTTTTTGTCTATAACCTAACAAGTATAAAATTCACAATCACTCGTTTAATGAGCCTATAATTGTTTATAATTAGAGAAATGGCAACAGAACGTAAAAAAGTTGATGCTGATCGCAAATGGTTTAATGACGCTGAAAATATTCAAATGATCAGTCTTCGCGCACTGCTTGAAATTTCTGGGTGAAAAAATGTGATTCATTGGCCATTCCTTTGGTTTTTAACATACTTTATTCTAAAATATGCAAACAATAGCAACATTAAATTATGCAAAACAAATCAAACCTCATCATTTAACTTAAAACAAGCAAACATACCCGCTCATTGCGGCAAGTAAATTAGCACTACTCAACGGCAAACTCCTAACACTAAATAAATAGTAAACAACCGACTGGCAATGATTCGATATAATAAATAAACAAGAATAAGAGAAAAAGAAAAGACTGATAAAGGGTTTTGTTTACGCCGACATGCCTATTCCTGCCCACGGACAGATGGTGAAATTGTTTTAAAAAGGAGGTAATTTATGAGCGGTCAACCAAATAACAAAGCTCAATGACCGATATCTTTTAAAATAAACACGGTCAAATGTATACAAAATAAAACAAAGAAGCTTTGTCTGTAACATGTTACGTCGAGATGTTAATTAATTAATTTAAGTCTCTGCTTAAGATAGTTATTTAACCCGATGTCAATCATTCAAAGCTTGCACAAGGTTTTAAAATGCAAGCTCAAGCCCCATAAACGGCGCTCCAGAAGTGTGTGTACAAATATGGAGGTAACTAATTTTGTTGCCCACTTAACATCAAGGACTGAAACCTACGGTAAGGGGTATATTTATTTGGCCAACACAGGCAGTCCGATTTCAAAATATAACAAAAATAGGGAAAATCTGAATAAAGTTATGGTATATTAACCCTAACCCAGTTCACATACTACGGGAATATTCATCCTATAAACTTATGGCAATGTGTAGAAATATGAACTAGCTTGCAATTTTATTTACAATTACCAGAATATTAATGAACGTGAAAGACTTCTAGCATATTTCCACCCATGTTTGTTTTTTGCCTAGACATGGGCATTTGTAACAATATTCAAACATAAGTGAAGCAAGTGTTTGCCTGAAGAAGCGGGCTAAGATTTCTTTGCAATCTTGTAATTTTCATGGCATACGACGCATCTGTTATTGAAGCTGACGTTTGCTATCTGTGCCCAAATCGTGCGCTACTTACCACCGTGTCTATTTGATACAGCAAACAGGAGATTTTTAATACAACGATGACTTGTGATATCTTGTCACAATGGAATTGTTTGTCGGTTAATGGTACAGAACAGTCACTCTAAACTGCATGGTCAGCGAAAGTCATTTTGCTGTCACCGATTTTGACAGACGGATCTTGATGGGCGACGTACCAACAGTTGAAAAGATGGATTGGTCTTCTTGTACAAGAGCTTTTTTACTTGTAATTACCGATAATTTTGGCAGTTTTGTAAAGCTGGGCGATTTTTGCTGCGCAAACATACTTCTATAAAAAGCCACGATCTGCATTGTGCTGATAACAATATTGCGATATCATCTCTATTGTAAACATTAAATAATGCCCAGATACGTTTAAAGATTACTCCCACACCCCTCTCTTTGAAGTCCCAGATGAGCGATTTCATGAAAAATAAAAAAAAAAGGGTAGGATTTGGGTCAAGTCCCTGCTCCCTTGGCACAAATAGAAATAGCTACTCTGACTTCAAGTTTACTGGTAATGCGGTTTATTAGTTTTCAATATTCAACTTATTATTTAGTATACTTGCGTGATTAACATACAGATCTTCCGTACAACGGAAATTTTTATATAAATTTATGACATCATCATACATGAACATCTTTGTTATGACGCCAAAATTAATTTCACTTAGAAAACCATATGACGTCACTATGATTTTTCGCATTGTTGGAAATACATGATACTAATTACATTAACTGTCGTAACTTATTTCCAACTATCCATAATCGAATGAATTATGATAACCTCCAGTACATTGTGAGCTATTTTCACAGAGATATATAAATATGGAGTGTGCTTCTCTCTCGTTTTCGCGGGATCATTTGAAGCCTATCTCGTTTTGACGATATGCTTCCAGATTTTCCGATGCGCCCAATGCATTTCTTATGGAATTTTACAGAAATTAATTATTTGCGTCGATTTTTTTTGCATATTCGCATGTTCTTGATTCGTTTCTCATTATATATCAAACGCTAATATACCCCAGTCCACCATACGGTCTAATTTTGGCAGTTATATAAATATGCGTAAGTCGTGGTTGCTAATATGGCCAACGTATCAGTCAAAAGCGAACAAAAACGACCACAGAACATCAGCCAAGATGGCTTATCGGAATCCATTCTCCATTTGCCTATATTTGGCCATATTTTATTGCCGTAAGTATTTTGCGTGGCCTGGCGCCGTAGTGGCCTACCCGAGATATATATTTAAATTGTCCAATATGGAGGTAACTACTATTGTTCTCCTACTTTACGTCAAGTTGTGTAAAAGGACTGAAGGGTATATTCACTTGGGTAACACACACAGTACCCGAACTCGTAATATAACTAAAATAAGAAAAGTCGGAATAAAGTTATGGCCTAACCCCAACCGAGTACACAGACTACGGCAGTATCAACTAAACTTCTCTTCGTCTTATACTGGAGACTTAGGTGAAATCTTCCCCGTGGAGGTTATTACATTTTATGATATCAGGCAAAAACAATTGTTCCCACTTATATCTATTGTACAATCGCCTAAACACAAACAACCAAATTTTTTCAAGAACGAGATCCACATCAGGCTCTAAAAATACAACTCGAATACAATTGTATTTGAATACCCACAAAGTGTCGCATATACATTCATATGCGGCGCACTAGGTAGTAAAATAGACGAAAACTGGCCAAAACCATATGCAACACGAAGAAACTTTGGAAGCATAGATGCCAAGATGGCGGCGATCATATGATCCCGCGGCAAGACAACGCAAAACGAGAGAGAAGATCGTTCCATATATTTTCAGTTCAGTGGCTACTTTGGACGAATCCCACTCGGAAAAATACATTACCTGAAAGTCGGAAATTGAACGCTGCACAGTTGAAATTCAGATTACAAGGAGCTAATTAGCCCTAGAATCTATTCTAACGAACTGTGGCATATTTGAAAGCTCTGTGACCTTTCAGCGGCTGTATTCCCAATTAAAAAATGAGATACAACTTGTTATTGGGACTCGTGGAAATGTAGGAATTAGGACAACTTTCTATGCCGCAAGTCTAAGTCGCTCATGCCGATACCAAGTTGTTTCGTTTTCCACTTCATTCCTTTTGTTCTCCAGTGGAATTATATAATTAAGCAAACTCACAGTCATCAGAACACGAAACTTTGCATTCAATGGGAAAGGAAAAGTTAGATGCCTTCCTAGACCGAGCTATTGGATTTAATTCTGCGGGAATTCGATTTCATACATCGCGATTCTTCTTCCCGTTCCGAAATGGTAACTATATTTGTTTAAAAAATGTTAATTAATCAGGTGAAGAGTTCGATTAATGATGTGAAGTACCAAATACTAGGTTTTGTTAACTGCTCATATAAATACTTTTATTGCTAATACATTATATTATCGCTAGAAAACCTAATAATTACGGCGAAATTGCGTTGTTGATAAACATCACCATCGATCTTGAAGCGATATTTTTGAGTTTTTTTGCCTAAAGTGATGAAAAGCACGTGCAATGCACTTGTTATATTCAAATATATTTGTAATACAACAAAAAAAACGAACATCAAAGGCGGAAAATTAAATTATAATCAATGAAACCCAGTAACTTAATTCGATATGCGATAATAAGTTTCCCAACCCCATTTATTTGCAAATTTCAAAATTTTTTAATTTTTTTTAGCTATCCAGCCATTAAATAATATATCGTTAAAGGGTCGTCTTCCAAATACCAATTGAATGATATCAACATTTTTGGGTTTGTTTTTAATTATATCAAAGTTATGACCAAAAAAACGACCGATAAAAAAAGTTGCACCCAATTTTCTCGAAAACTATTCAATGAATTTTGATCATAGATACTATTTTTAGATGTGTTTCATTAAAATATATTCGAGAATACTAGAATTTTCAGTACAGCTTCAACAGAACAAATTTTTATTTATTTGGGGGTCAAATATGTAATTGAAACCACTCCGGCCACGATTGGGCACCAACTCGACTATATTAAACGAACTGTATTACTTGCGTGACATTTTGTCATACCATTTTCTATTAAAAACCGCTAAAAATAACGCTGCGAGTAGCTCATTATATGCCACAGAAAACGAGTGGCCCAACTGCAGCAAAATATAGCATATGTATATGTATATATATATATAGAGAGAGAGTCATTCGAATGATTTACATAAACAGTCAATGTATTTTAGATGCATGTACTCTATTCACATGCCACACCATTGTGTCTGTGTTATCGACCCAACTCCGATAAGAAAAGGATTCGCCTGCACAACTAATATTTATCACAATGCATTACTGATAGGCTCACAAAATTCAGGTTCGCAGGCCGTGGGCAAATGTAACTGCCAAATTTTGAAAATATAGCTTTATGCAAAGCGAGAATATGGTTTCGTGAGCACGAATTACATTTCCCAAAATAAAACTACTGTCAACCCGGGTTTTTTCGCCAATATAGTTTTGCAACAACGAACGTTTGCTCAATTGCCGAAACGAACTTACGTGAGGATGTAATTTTACGATAACTAACTCTTGGTTGGAAGAATTCAGGTTTGCGCGTATGAATTTTTTCAGAAAAGGTCTACGAAATTTCGATGCCAAGGCTTTTTCAATCGAAATCAAATAGACACGGACACAGTATATGCACAAATTAACCTAAGTTCTACAAGGAGAATTTGCAAACATCATGCGATAATATATCTTGAAGAAAATATCTTGAAAAAGTTTTACTATATATTGCACGTCAACACAGTTTTTGTGATATTCTATAATAGCATATCTTTAAGGAAAAGTTTTTAAAAATAGAAAGTCATAGATTTGACAAAATACCGAAACTTATGCCTTTTTAATAAAACAAACTAAGCACTGTTGCAAACTATCGCCATAACAAAAAGGCGATATGCGATACTGCTGTATAAAATACACCAAGTAACCCATTAGTAAACGGAAGAAATCTAATGGAAACCCTATTTTATGATCTGATTTATTCAATATTTGTACATTACTTTCTATTGTGACCACTTGTAACACAAACATTTGTATAACTTATGTGTTTATTCTTACAGTTGAATCTCATGCGAATAGCAACACAAAGATCTTATTTGCATCAGATTATTTAACATATATTCTTGCTGTTGATTGTAATAAATTTGAAGGTAATTTTTGAAGTGTAACAATTGCAGGGAACAAATTAGTTTTTACTTTGCGTGAAAGTAAACGTGAGTAGAAATCTTATATTTCAAGTCCCCGTTTCGAGAAACATCAAATGCGGTAAATAGGACAAAAAAACATAGTAGCATTGTGTTTCCAGCGCAATCAGACACGCACAAAATAACAGATGTCCTAATCTAATAAAATGAAATAAAATCCAAAGTGTGTGAAATTTGATACCAAAACGGATACCTTGGTGTACTTAGTTTTGATCAGTTCTTACCAATATTCACTATAGTAATTATTTTCATAATACAAAATTAATTACAACATAGTCTCAAATTTTTCAGGGATTCGATGGATTGGAGTGTTTACACCAACACCGTATCCAACAGCGGAAGATCTTCTTGGCGTCAGAAATACTTTGATTGATTTGAATGTGACATCGCCTCTAAATTTTCTCAATGCCACGGCCGAAAATTGGATTGATTGACTCATATTATATCCACTCATCCTATTATAGAACGATATAGCAAATAAATATTCAGACGCATAACAAAAAAATATTCACCAATTTCACTGTTTGTTTGATAGACAATGTTTGGAATACTTGCTTTATTTACTATCGGATCTCTCTATCAATCTCTCTTTCACTCTATTTCAAAGGCGGGGTATTACGGAAAATGTATTTGGGAAATTGATTCTATATGTATAATTGTTTAGAACGTAGCGCCTAACGTTTCCACAAAGTTTCCACGACGAAGGAATTTTCGAGGACCGCTTAAGTCAGTGGTTCTTAAACTTTGTGAGCCTGCCGAACCCCTACGCTATTCCGCAAGCTTCTGTCGAACCCAAAATATTTGAACTAAGAGCGCAACCTGAACTTATTGAGGGTAAGTCGATTTTGTACAAATTTATAGAAAATTTGACCGCCTTCAATTGATAAAATATGAATTCGTTGCCTTACTGTTGAGCATAGGTTGTTTTTGCGAGTTAAATTTGAAGGAAATGCTTTGTCAAGAGAGTATCAACCACCGAAAAAAAAAACTGGTTGCTCCATTGGTTGTAGCAGAATAAATTGCAACAAACAGTAAACTTCAATTATTCATTAGATTTATTAGTAATACTTCTGCTGCTGTTTTTCGGTAACCAATTGAGAGATACGTGGCTTCGATTCAAAAGGGGCAATTCTCACGCCATTCTCGCATTGGAGTCACGTTCAGTTGAACAGGAAAAGCCATACCGCAAATAGTCATCAGACCAAGATCTTTTCTTGGATGACATATTTAACGAAAAAAATCCTCGGAATTACAAAGAGTTTTTGTAGAAAAGAAACGTTGAACCTATCTGAAAATTGTGGTGCAATCTTAGATACCAGTACGCCGGGTCGAAATGACTTGGAGGTCATTTGTAATATTTTTTATAGCTTGACAATTGACTACTCTCGAAAACATTCCATCTGGAGATTTAGATGACAGATACCAGACTGAAGAAGGTACCTATCAAGAAAAGTTAAATATAATTTGATCTTATTTGCAATTGGGTATTGAAGAGTTTTCCAAAATTGCCGCACCCCATTTCGAAGGGCAAGTGTTCTCATATTTACTTATTGAAGTATTCCATTAGTTTAGCATGTATACTTCATACATCAAATACGTTCATAAATACTTGCCTGAGACCAGTCTACATTCTCTTTTGGTGTCAAACCACATTTGTCATAAATGAACGAGGTTGGATGGCTATGGACATCTATAACCACAGTAATGTACGCTGTTAGAAATAGGCTGCATGTCAACATAATGCAGTTTATACAACCTTCTTCCAGCAAGATTTTCAGAATTATATCGTCAGATGTAAGTCATTCCATATAGATATCAGACGGGATAGGAAATGACGTTTCCAGAGATACTACATGATTTCTACAGCTTTGTTTACAATTCTCTTCCATGTACTGTTATATATCTGCACATTTTCTAGGTGTACTTTACAGTTGTAAAGTTTTGGGTTTTCGCAAAAAAACGGCAGAATATAATTCAGAAAATGAAAATCACTCTGAAATTAACGCCTTTCGAAATCAAAATTTTAGAAAATTTACAGTAAGGAATATCGATCACGACATCCTTCATTCCATCATATTATATGATACTACGCTAGAATATTATTTGACTGTTTTATTATGCCTGGAAATAAATAACCACAAAAGAGAAATGTTCATAAAATTAAAAAACGAAATTCGGCATCTTTTCATTATTATGGCGGTATGCAATTGGCACGGATATAAAACCTATAGTTACGCCGTGGAAAATTCTGTTGCATTTCTGATGCTAATTTTACATCAAGCATATATATGTTTGCTCATTTGTTCATCTAAAGCTAATTCATCACGAGTTTATTAAAATTTGTGATAAAGGCATAAAAGCTTTCAAAGTTCATATATATATCCTGAATTGAGTTAAGTAAATATTTGTGTGAAATACATACTCTTGACATATCATTAACGAGAGGAAATATATATAATATAAGAAATCCGCTTTGAACAAATCAATGAATCGCCGTGGTTATGAATATTATTGATCCAAAAATTTATTCGGAGTGCATCATCTTTCTAATCAATAAAGTGTGACTTCGTTTAACTTATTTTATACATCGAGAGCGAAATCATTGAGGGTCATTGATCAAAAATTTGGGTGGTCAACAGCAGCAGCCTCAGTCAAGGCAACTTCATTACATATTATTATCGATACCACCGATGTGGATTGCTTCGGCGTTGAGACTTGAAAATGTTGAATGATTAGATAACGGACTTTGTGGTGAGTTACGCGTCAAAATAATTCGTGTCCCAATTGTATGATTGTCACCTCATGTGAATAAATCAATAATCATTTGCTCCAAGATATATATATATATATATAGTGGGTTTCCGTCATGGGAATTCTGGGGTACATGACTACACGTCTTCATCAATTAAAAAGAGGCAAAAAACTTCGTGGCATATAGGCTACATTTTTATGAACTCACATTCACACTTCGGTATTGGACAATTTTCCCAACGTTTCTCCGAGTCTGTTGTGTAACACCAAGGTCCCAATGGTTCTGCATCAGGATTTCTGCATAAGTTGTTTACTAATCCAGAATGGGTAAAGACTTCTGCAGTTCTGTGAGTATAGTAAATGATATTAAGCGTGGTAAAACGGTCAGCGGAAACAGTAAAAAAGAAACGGTAAAAGATGTGTGAGGAAATAAATGTTGTCATATATGTGCTATACACCCGGTTGACGAGCAGTGACTTAGGGCGCTGACTTAATTTATCATTCAACAAAAAATTAGCGCAATATATTTGACGTTACTAAAAACACTTTCCATTTCTCGGATCTGATAAATATTGAGACGAAATCTAAATTCTTATAAATAGTGCCAATTCTATGAAGTAATTTCCACCGAGAAGTAGCGCAAAAATAATCGATTCAAAATAGTTCGTGGTTAAAGGCGTAATCTTTTCACTAAACATGTGCATGTTATGCATCCATATTTAGTATATGACTGTAATTTTGTATTTTATGCTAATGTAAAATATCCATTTACGGAAAGTCATAATATACCCGTGATTCATATACCTTGTATGTTTATGCGGGCTCTGCGAATCCCATCGTTGACAAGTTTTTCCACCATTTGTGACAGTCATATTCCCTCGGTAACTTGCCCCACGATCAGCCGTATTCCAACAGTCATGAGCTGTAAGACAAAATAATGAAATGTCAATTATTCTGGGGCTTCTTGATATCCTTCGCGTATTTCATATGCAGAACATTTGATTGAAATGTTTTTATCAGCTTTCATGATTTTATTGCTGGCATGTTTATTTATGTTTTCGATCCCCAAACATTACGCTCCGATAGGCAATATTGCAAAAAGTATCTTACTATCTGAAGCTCCAGATAAATCTCTGACTAATGCCAGTAAAAGAAGAACAGCGGCATATCTTTCGAAACTTTGCAATTTCATTCTTGCAGTATGAACCTTACAATATAAATCTACTAAGTTGCTTTTATTACATGTATTAGCAAAAAGAATCAGACATTGAAATGAAGCTTTATTAGCATAATATGATGCGATAAAAACTTGATAAAAATATATATTTAATATATTACACATTTACATGTTTTACCTCATGTAAACACATTTTGCTTGCGATGGGCGCTTGAGATTAACCTTAACAGTTTACAAGTGTGCTCTAGTTTATTAGACCAAAACTACAACTCAAATTTTTAGAGGTTTGGAAGTTTCTAAAATAAGAAATTTTGAATTACTGAATTTGTAACTGTAAAACATTCACAGCCACGTCCAACATCTCTAACCGGGCGCACTTCAGATGACCACGTTCAAGATTGTTTTTAGATCTTTGATTGAATAAGAACAATTCCAACGTTGAACGTTCTTTGGCTAATGTTCAAATCAGTAATAAGGTCAAATATCAATTCATATTTACAATCCTAATAGTACAATCCTACCAAATTGCATTTATCATTGTGTCTTCTTGAACTATTATTGGCATCATACCAAAGCGTCTTATGAGATAAAGTGGGTTTCCTACCGCTGACTTCATATAGGCATTTAGGCTATACTCATATTTCCGCAATTTTCTTATTTATTTTCAGGATTGCCCATACATGAGGCAAAGCTTGACTCTGTTGGTAACTTGTATTCAAAATCCTGACAGACCTCAAATCTCACCAAAATTTCAAAACAATTGCTTGAGTAAACATACACTAGAAAAACTGCAGTATAAATATTCATTATTATTCATTAATTACACTGTGTGCGTGAGTATAACTGAAATTGTACATTAAACGCGCAAAAAATATTCTTCACATGGCACGTTGAAATAAATGTTAGTCGACATCAAAGCAATCAGATATATATAATAATCGTTTATTTATATTTTCCGAAGATCAAATCTATGCTGACTTAAATCTTGCTGTTTAAATTTCTGAACTACACTTAGAATTGCTCAACTTCGCTAATTTGTTTTTATCTATATCACCAATCCCTTCTTCCAGTATTTTTAGTTTTTGGAAATGCAAACTTTCGAAACTTGTGGGCGGCTAGGGATGCCGCTTTGGGATTTGCGAATCGAATCGTATGGCATCTTTTTTGAAGCGATTCAAATCAGATTTATGCGATTCGGAAAAAGCGAGCAATTTACCAAAGAAAAACAAACGATGAACGTTTGTTCATAATTGTTATCGGCGACGTTGAATTTTCCGAATGCGGTCATGCGGCACTTCAAATAACATCAAATTACAGGACGAAATGAGAATGAATTTTTCGTGATCAACTTTTACTGATCGGACGCCGTTTATTTCAAGTTCGGAGCAACACACTCTTTTACGCATCACGCGACATGCTGTGTTGGGATAATTTTAGCAAACTGTATGTAGGTTATGTATTCCACTGAATGGCCTAAGTTTCAATTATACGCGAATTTAAATGTATCGTATACCCAAAAATTTGTGACATTTTTGATGAAAATATGCAACAGCACACCTGCGCAGCGACTACGTTATGATACGCCCTGGCATGATCTGAAAAGGAATAAGCTACAGACTTTTAGAAATAATATAATTTTGATTGAAAATAATCTAAACTTCGTTCAGATTAAAATATTTCGCGCATATTTTGAGAGAACTATTACTGAATTAGCTGGCCATGTTAATTGATACTCATGTTATCCTAAAATATATTTTTAATCTATTTTATTCGCATTTGGTATGCCTCCGCTCGAGTGGCGGTAATTGAAATGAGGGGAAACATAATGTGATAGAACATATACGTGTCTTCTTCCACATTAAGAAAATTGTAACATTTCCTTTAGTTTTCTTAGACCGATACAAGCGGGAAATAAAATATATCATGTTATTTCTAGCAAGTGTCATAGCGGGCAGGTGGGAGTAGATAATACTTGAGGAATGGCAACTTATGCACTGCCTTACATTAACACGCTCCAGATTTCATACCAGACAAAGCATAATGTGCGAATTTCGTCTTACTTTTGCTCAAACGACATTGTTTAAAATTTAGATACAGCGTCGACCTATTAGTAGTCCAATATAATAAATGTTTTGAAAAAAACGATTTTAGCCAAAAAGATACGGATCTTTTATATTCAGGGAAATAATTTTTTGGTAGTCGTAGTCGGTTGAACGATTATGTTTATCGAATTCTTTTTTCGTCTCCAAGCATTTCTCATTTATTGTAGTTCACATGCAATTAAAATGTTTGTTGTCGCATTGCACTAGTATTAATTTATGACCAGTATCTCCTTGTTTAGCAAGCTCTATCACAACAATCAGCATATATAGTACAAATACTTATAAGATAAGTATAAGTTATCGAGGTAAGAAACTACATCCATTGCGCCAAGGCAAATTAATATGTCGGTTTCTGCTGGTCTACAGCCTTGCATAGAGTGAAAGCGTTCCACGTCCTATATATAAAATGTGGCCCAATACATGATCAGTCTCTGGATAATAAATAACAAGTCTTTATGTCTGCGGCACCTAACCTCAATCATTGCGTGAATTAAATGTTCTTTCTGTTTGTCTAAAGCCTAGCTCAGAGCGGTATCGTATATCACCCTATTAATAGATCGTAGCACAATACATGAGCTATTGCTGGACATAAAATAATAAGTCTTTATGTGTGTGGCACCCAACTTCAACCATTGCGTAAAATAACATGTATTTTCTGCTTGTCTAAAGCCTTGGTTAGAGTTGTATCGTATAACGCTCTATTTTAGATTGTAGCACGATACATGAGCTATTGCTGGACAGAAATTGGTCAGAATGGGATATCGTGAACGTTCCTTGGCGACAATTTAGTCGCTTGTGATTCTTGTTTAATTTTGAGCTCGGTACAACGACCCCGATAAGAGAGAGGTCGCTGACGTATTGAGTTTGTTGACATACTCGTAGGCGCCATTACGGGTGACCGTCGCTATACTTTGGCAAGCTGTATTTCGTTATTGTGACGTCGCAGTGACGTAATTTTTGGATGACGTCATCAGGTAGGGGTCAGGAATCATATATCCAAAAATTGTTACGCCACGCCCACTAGAAGTTATTCAGGTAAGAAAGTACATGAGACCCCAAATATGATGGGGCACTGATTTGCGCATAACAAAGTTCTCCTTCATGTATTGTCCCAAGTCACAAATTATTGTAAAAAATCATACTAATATTTTGGAGATAGAAAATCTGTAATACGGCGGGTCTCAATTCAATATTTCAATATGTGAAACACCCCAGTCACATATGCTGGCATGGAATTACTAGAAGCAGTGCTGTTACTATGTTTGAGACATAATGGTACAATAGAGCCTGAATTTCATCAAATTTCCTCAGTCCTGATACAAGTACTGCATGTGTAAAGCGCAAACCTACACTCTCTGTTACATTTTTTTGAAAAAATTGCAATGAAACATTAATATAACTGTCAATCGAATGGTTTAGGAACTTGACGAGAAAATAAAAATGAGGATATATTCAATATTCAATAAGGAACATAAGATATTGACTAATGTTTCAATATTGCGCCAGTAAGTACACAATGTATATATTTCATTCAATTTTGTTTTTATTTATTAAATAGGATTTAATTTTATGATTTTGCGTAGAAATGAAGATGATCATGCTTTTTCGAGCAATATGGAAGTCATAAAAAGCCTCACAAAATCATGTTATATCAAAATATTCAATAACGAGTCAGAGAAACTTTCTGGTTCTGTATCAAACAATATTCGAAATACAAATATTCAATTCTCTGTGCAATTGTAGGTTTGTCCGTTTTTTGTTTTTCTAAAATGTTCGCGCCTTTACGTCAGGTCATCCTGTAATATTCAAGCGGTTAAAGATTTCTTAATTTTAAAACTGGAAATTGGATGTTTTATTGAAAAATTGTATTTTCTAGAATTTTATTATTGATGAATAGTGTACTTACAAATACTTCACGAAAAAGAAATATACCTGAAATCGCTAATTACTCTTTTTTTGGTATACTTCTTGCAATTCAATTAATCTGGATTTATTGCACATCTATAAGCTGGGTGAATTTGTCTTATCTGAATTTCTTCAAAATTGCAAAGTATATTTACATCAAAAACAGTAGTGATGTAGGCATTTGAAGCTATCACTTCATTTATTGGTAATATTGACCATGTTTCAGAAAATTTTACAAACGGACTATCTTGTGGTATCCTCAGAGTAGTTTGTCACCACAATACAGACTCAGATCTTAAAATGCGATCATGAACTTGTCTATATATTTTGATTGTTATGACATAAACTGCGAGAAATATTTGAAATCATTTTGTAATGAGCACTGAATGTTATAATGATGACCAGGCTCCTTCAGGATACATACTTTATGTCTACGAATAGCCCTCTTCGTATGGTATTTCATTTGTTAGGATGGATTTCAAATCAACCTCAAAATATAGGGTAAAAGAATTTACAAGGATTTCGGATGAAATAATTATTGCTGAAAGCTTGGAAGAATTCTAACAATATTGCAGGAAACTTATAATCTAAAAACATACATCGAAAACGTTGAGCTGGCTATCCATTTTCTTAATAAAACAGAGACTATAGTTACAAAAAACAGAAGGACACAATACAGTATCTATATGATTCAGTTGTGAATTGTCTTTTTCTAGTTCATCCGAGCATTTACTGTTTTTGAATACATATAGGTTTTACCCGAGTCAATATGCAACAATAAGTTTGTTATTTATTTGTAGCCCGTTCACCTATCCGTAAAAAGTTATATGAAACCAATTATTTTATCCTAGATTGGTCTTATAAATTAGGGTATAATGAAAATTGCAATTCTCTCTCTTTTGACGCGTTTCACAAGGTCACTCGCTTTGATTTCGTTGCTTTTTAGCGAGAAATCAAAATTAAACAGCGTTCGATAAGGCTGATAACGTGATATACATATACTGCCAAGAATAAGCA